CTCCTTCCAGCAGGTACAAAGTACGTGGTGCAGAGATTTGAAAAAAAGCATATGCGGATCATCTCAGTGGTGGTTGAGAGTTTGAAATTTGCTGTGAGAGGAGCCTTGATCAATTTCTATAAATGCATCTTACACAGTGGCAGTAATGTGTATCCTGATGGCAGTAGTGCAGAAAGCCGTAAGACAAGGGAACAGAATTATGGTCACTTAGCCCATCAAATCTGCTCCACCAATCAATAATGGCTAATACCCCATCCTACTGCCTTATCTCCATACCATTGATCCCCTTACTAATCAAGAACTTATCAAGCAGCATATTTTTTAATGGATAGTGTCAAGCTTCTCGAATAGTGCTAAATACACATCCAAAGAACATAGAACCCTACAGCACAGGAGCAATCGCCACAAGGTCTCAAAGAAATGAAAACGATGGATGACCTGGCATCGATATAGGCACCAGAAAAGACAACAGCAGAAACAGCGCTATGGACCCTGCAAAGTTCTTCTCACTAACTGGGGGTTAGTGCCAAAACTGCGAGAGCTGTCTCACAGACTAGTTAAGCAACAGCCTGCCATAGTCATGCTCACGGAATCGCAACTTATAGACAACGTCCCACATACCGCTTTATCCCCAGCTCTGGATATGTCCTGTCTCACCGATAGGACAGATCCAGGAGAGTTGGCAGCACAGTGGTATACAGTCAGGAGGGAGTTGCTCTGGGAGTCTTCAACATTGACTCCGGACCCCATGACGTCCCATGGCTTCAGGTTAAACATGGACAAGGAAACCTGCTGTTTACCACATACCGTCGTCCTTAAGCTGATGAGTCGGTACTCCTCCATGTTGAACAACTTGGAGGAAGCACTCAGGTTGGCAAGGGCACAAAATGTACTCTGGCTGGGGGATTTCAATGACCATCACCAGGAGTGGCTCTGCAGCAGTACTACTGATTGAGCTGGTCGTGTCCTAAAGGGCATAGCTGCTAGACTGGGTCTGCAGCCGGTGGTGAGGGAACCAACAAGAGGAAAAAACATACTGGACCTCATCCTTACTTATCTGCCAGCTGCAGTTGCACCTGTCCATGACAGTATCGGTAAGAGTGAATACTCCACAGTCCTTGTGGAGATGAAGTCCCGCCTTCCCACTGAGAATAACCTTCATTGTGTTGTGACACTATCACCGTGCTAAATGGGACAGACTTCACACAGATCTAGCAACTCAAGACACGGCATCCATGAGGCGCTATGGGCCATCAGCGGAGGTAGAATTGTCCTCCAGCACAATCTGTAACCTCTTGGTCCAGCAGATTCCCCATTCAAGCATTGCCAGGAAATTGACCTTGGGTTAATGGGAGTGCAGCAGGGTATGCCAGGAACAGGACCACACATATCTGAAGAAGAAGTGTAAACCTGGTGAAGCTACCAGACAGGACTACTTGCATGCCAAACAGCATAAGCAGCAAGTAATAGACAGAGTTATGCGATCCCATAACCAACAGGTCAGATCCAAGATCCAAACTCTGCAGCCCTGCCACCCTGAATGGTGGTGGACGATTAAACAACTCACTGGAGGAGAAGGCTCAGCACATCAGTACAAAGTATAAGACTGAAACTTTTGCAACAACCTTCAGCCAGACATGACGAGTAGATGATCCACCTCGGCCTCCTCCAGTGGTCCCCAGCATTACAGATACCAGTCTTCAGCCAATTCGATTCACTCCACATGATATCAAGAAACAATTGGAGACACTATTTACTGCAAAGGCTATGGGCCCTGACAACATTCCGGTAAATAGTACTGAAGACTTGTGCTCCATAACTTGCCACTCCCTTAGCCTAGCTGTTCCAGTACAGTTGCAACAGTAGTATCTACCTGACAATGTGGAAAATTGCCCAAGCATTACACACAAAGCAGGACTAATACAACCCGGCCAATTACCACCCCATCAGTCTCCTTTCGATCATCAGTAAAGTGATGGAAGATGTCATCAACAGTACTATCAAACAGCACCTGCTCAGTGACGCCCCCTTTGGGTTCTGCCAGGGCCGCTCACCTCCTGACGTCTACAGTCTTGGTTCAAACATGGACAAAAGAGGTGAGGTATGAGTGACAGCCCTTGAAATCAAGACTTCATTCAACCCAGTGTGGCATCAAGGAGCCCTAGCAAAACTGGAATCAATGGGTATCAGGGGGCAAACTCTCTGGTGGTTAGAGTCATACCTGACATGTAGTAAGATGGTTGTGGTTGTTGGAGGTCAGTCATTTCATCTCCAGGACATCTCTGCAGGAGTTCCTCAGGGTAGTGTCCTTGGCCCAACCACCTTCAGCTGCTTCATCAATGACCTTCCCTACATCATAACGTCAGAAGTCGGGATGTTTGCCAATGATTGCATAATGTTCAGCACCATTCATGACTCCTCAGATACTGAAGCAGTCCATGTTCAAACGCAACAAGATCTGGACAATATCCAGGCTTGGGCTGACAAGTGGTAAGTAACATTCACGCCACAGAAATGCCAGGCAATGACCTTCCCGAACGAGAGACAACCTAACCACTACCCCTTAGCCTTTAATGGTGTTACCATCACTGAATCCCCCATTATCAACATCCTGGGGATGACCATTGACCAGAAATTCACTCAACACATAAACACGGCGGTTACAAGAGCAGGTCAGAAGCTAGGAAGACTGCAGCGAGTAACTCACCTCCTGACTCCTCAAAGCCTGTCCACCATCTACAAAGCACAGGTGGAGTGCTTTGGAATACTCCCCACTTGCCTGGATGAGTGTAGCTCCAACAACACAAGCAACTTGACTCCAACGACGACTACGCAGCCCGCTTGACTGGCACTGCATCCACAAGCATCCACTCCCTCCACCACTGACGCTCAGTAGCGGTAGTGTGTACTATCTACAAGATGCACTGCAGAAATTCACCAAAGATCCTCAGACAGCACCTTCCAAACCCAGGAAGACTTCCATCTAGAAGGACAAGGGCAGCAGATATATGGGAAGTCTGTCACCTTCAATGTCCCCTCCAACCACTCACCATCCTGACTTGGAAACATATCACTGTTCCTCCACTGTCGCAGGTTCAAAATTCTGGAATTCCCTCCCTAATTGCATTGTGGGTCAACCCACAGCAGGTGGATTGCAGTGGTTCAAGAAGGCTGTTCATTACCACCTTCTCAAGGGCAACAAATGCTGGCTCGCCAGCAACGCCCAAATCCCACAAATGAATAAAAACTGGAATCAATAGGATTCAGGGGTCCTACCTTAGCTCTAGATCCCAGACACAATCATCTTCAGCTGCTTTATCATAATGTCAGAAGTGGGAATGTTTACTGATAATTGCAATGTTCAGCACCATTCATGACTCCTCAGATACTGAAGCTGTCCATTTTCAAATGCATTAAGATTTGACAATATCCAGGCTTGGGCCAAAAAGTGGCAAATAACATTTACACCACACAAATGTCAGGCAATGACCTTCTCCAATAAGAGACAATCTAAGCACCTGTTGACATTCAATGGCGTTATCATCACTGAATGTTGCACACACAACACTGGCTCCAAGAACCGGTCAAAGGCTAGGAATAGTGCAGGAGTGACCCACATCCTGACTCTCCAGTGCCTGTCCACCACCTACAAGGCTCAAGTCAGGGGTGTGACGGATCAAGAGTATGATGGATGACTGTCCACTTGTCTGGATGAGAACCGTTCCAACACTCAAGAAGCTTGACACCATCCAAGACAAAGCAGCCCATTTGATTGGCACCATATCCAAACTCTCCACCACTGCTACTCAGAAGCAGCAGTGTGTACTGTCTGTAAGATGCACTGCAGAAATTTCCCAAATATCCTTTGACAGCTCTTTCCAAACCCACGACCAACCAGAAGGTCAAGGACAGCATATACATGGGAACATCACCACTTGCCAGTTTCCCTCCAGTTTCACTCACCATCCTGACTTGGAAATATGTTGCTTCAGTGCTACTGGGTCAAAATCCAAGATTTCCCTCCCTAATGGTGTTGTGGGTCTACCTACAGCAGATGGACTGCATCAGTTCAAGGCAGCTCACCATCACCTTCTGAAGGGCACCTAGTGATGGGCAATAAATGCTGGCTCAGCCAGCAACAACCATGTCCCACAAAAGAATAAAAAAGTTAAAAAATGTAATTACTAATTGAATCATTAATTGACACGTGTGTTCAATGTAAAAATACAGTGAAAAGTGTGTACCTTCACCATACATACATGGCGCCATGCACTAACTTAGAATAAGATAAGGAAAAACAGATAACTTAAGAAAGGAGGAGCAGGAAAGATTTCTGAAGAAGGGTCTAGGCCCGAAACGTCAGCCTTCCTGCTCCTCTGATGCTGCTCGGCCTGCTGTGTTCTTCCAGCTCTACACCTTGTTATCTCAGATTCTCCAGCATCTGCAGTTCCTACTATCTCTCTAACTTAAGAAAGTCCAACTTCCCTTTCCACTGCCGCAGTTCCCCCTCTGGGCTTTCCAGCCCTCACCATGCCACTGCCAGAATCCTGCTCCGGGCTTTCCAGCCCATGCCATGCCACTGCCATCGTCTCACTTCAGGCTGCCTCACTGGCCTGCTCTCACCAGTCCACTCTTGATCCACCGCTGTCGCTGTAGCCCACGCTCAATCCTCCGTCGCTGCAGGACACAACCCACGTGTTCAGCTCCCGCCATGTGGTTCCCAGTCGCAACCCAGCTCCTTCCAGCCTCCTTAGGCAGATAGTTAAGAGGGGTGGGGGGTATAGAATTACTACAAAGGGAGAGAGAATGGGGGGAGAAATGAAAAGAGAGAGAACTGGCGAGCAGAGTGGAGCGAGTTAGCCTGCTGTCATCTTGCCGAAGGTACTAAACCCCTTCGGAAACGTTTTCTTTGTTTACTTTAAGGAAAGCCGATCATGATCATATTCTAATCAAATCTTTTGGTCATATTCTCATAAGCTAAAAATGGAAATTACTAAATATTTAGGTTTACAAATATTTAATTACATATATGTATATTTACACATTCCATTTATCTATACATTGATTTTATTAATGAGTTCAAAAAACATTTTTGTAGAATATATATTGCCAGATCATAAAAACATCAATCGTTGGTTTTGCAGCTGCTGAACATTATTGTAGTTGGAATGCTCACTAGGACATCCCGCATCACTGCCAATGTGCCCACTCCAGCTCATAAAGGAACTTAATGGGATGACAGCTCAATAGTTCTTAGCCATGTGGCAATCAACACATACAATTCTTGACATGGGAGTGTGCTATGGGAGTGTGCTATGGTTGCAGCTGCCAGGTTTAGCCCTTTCCCTGTCCAGGTACTTGCATTGGTTTCCAGAGCAGGACTTTGAAGATCTTAGACTTTATACTTCTTTAGACAACTCAACCCTTGGAGGAAGGGTTGCTAGTTGCGTAAAGAGTTCCTGGTCAGGCTAATTGCCATGTCATCTGGGAGGAACATATTTAGCACCCAAACTGCTCAGTTGCTTAGGCATTTAGGAAAGCTACCTTGTTTTTCCTGAGAATGATAACACTGCAGCACAAAACCTCATATAAAAAACTTTGAATTTGAATTAATATTTTCAGGAATATACCATGATTCAAATATTCACAACAATGACCTTTGCTCTTCCATTCAAATGTAAAAATACAATTACCATTTAGCACCGTTGAGAAGAGGAAAGAACTTCAATTTAAGAGTGAGGCTACAAAAAGGTGGGAGGCTACAGAAGGCAAACACAAGGCACTACCTGTTCACCTTCCCTACAGTGCTCCTACTAAGCTATTTTAAAAACGACTGTTAAATTGTACAGTAGACTTATAGGGCTGGAAAACTGGTCATCAGTCTACATTCAGCAGCTGAGAAAGGAGGAAGTAGAATATTGTAACTGCTGCATCGAGAAACAGGAACTCATCAACAGATAAACATACAATCTCAAAAAGAACGCTTATTCTGCACTTCAAATCAGGCTCAGTTACAGTGTTATCTGTCTGAGCTCTTACTTTTAAAGTCACATTAACCTTGTAAATTTTCCTCAACATCAACAAAGCACCATACCTCCAGTACAGTCTTATAAACTCTGTTTCAGGGTATCTATTGCTTGGCAACATTTTTTGATTATTTGTAAATGTGCATTCATTACAGTTGCTTGAAACTGATCTCACATTGGAGTACAGACCATATTTTTTATGTTTTATTTACTGATTGTGCTTTGAACTTTTTGGAGGGAGCTGGAGGCACAGACGCGCGCATACACACATATACATACACACAGACACACCTACATGCACGCACATGCACGCGCGCGCATGCACTTTGTTTAAGAAAGTGAGTCAGTCACACCACCCGTTGAATTTGCAACTCGGCCTTTGCTGGTATTTGAAAGCAGGCCACTAGCTTCACAATCGCTCCTTGTGGTCCACGGTCACTGTTGACCTGCTGTTCTCTGTGCTGCCCAGCAAGCGGTTGACAAACTGGGAGATCTCATCCTGGCCTCGGTAGATGCGTTTAAGCCCACGAGGGAGGCAGCGGCAGGAAGTCAGGTTCAGGTAGTTCAAATTGGGGCTGCTGCTCACCACAACTCTGCAGGATACGGACAAGAAAATGAAAGGGCAATATTACTCCAATGACCAGAAATAACAGCCAGAAAATCAGAAGATTCCTGGTAGATTTATGACCTGCATGCAAGGGTTCAGAATCTGGATGGTTACATGGCATTGAACAGAAATAAGCTATTCCACATAACCATCCAGACCAGTATTTAAGCTGCATTTGAGCTTCCTACCATTTCTTTTCATCCAACCCTATCAGCACATACTCCACTACACAAGATCTAAATAGGAGAAAATCACTAAGCCTACTATTCCATTCAGCAAGATCATGGCTGAGCAATTACTCAATTTTCCTTCCTTATTACCATGTCCCTTAAATTCCCTTGTGTCTCCTTAGATTAAAGACCAGTACTTAGGCATCACAGGTTCAAATCCCATCAAAGCAGCTGGTGGAATTTAAATTCAATCAATAAAATCTGGAATTGAAAGCTAATCTCAGTAAGGCTGACTACGAAAATATCGTTGATATTGAAAAGAATTGATTTGGTTCATTAGTGGCCTCTTGGGAAGTGGATTTCTGTCCTTACCTGATCTAGTCCACATGCAATTCCAGATCCACAGTAATGTGATTGATCCTTAACTGACCTCAGAAATGGTCTAGCAAGCCACGAAGTTCAAGAGTAATTAGGGATTGGCAACGCGCAAGTCCAATGAAAGAATAAGGAAAAGCATGCCAAAGTGTTTTCTATATCTGCATGCTACATGTACAAGGACCATCTCCAACCCCTGCAAAACTATATTTACTGATCCCTAGGTTTTTAATTTTTTAAAAAAACTGCTTTTCTGTCTTCAACCAAAGTGGATAATTTCACATGTCCCCATATTATAACTTTATCTGCTAATTTCTTGCCTGATTACCTGGCTTATTTTCTTCTGCTTCTCTTCACAGCTTTACTTTCCATCTTTTGTAGGATCAGCAAACACGAACATATACTCAGTCGCTTCCTTTAGTTATTGATATTCATGTTATAGGTAATAGGCAACTGAGGCTCACGTACTGAAAATTTCTTTCTCACATATTTGTTTATGTAATTAAATGCATCTCTCAAAGCAACTAAGCTTACGCCTTGATAGTTCTTTCTGCTTCAGCAAACTCAATGATTTGGTGAAAAACCAAAAAGAACTGCGGATGCTGTAAATCAGGAAACAAAACAGAAGTTGCTGGAAAAGCTCAGCAGGTCTGGCAGCGTCTGTGAAGAAAAAAATCAGAGTTCTGAGGAAGGGTCACCGGACCTAAAATGTTAACTCCGATTTTTTCTTCACAGATGTTGCCAGACCAGACCTGCTGAGCTTCTCCAGCAACCTCTGGTTTTGTTGTCAGTGGTTTAGTTGATTATTTATCGCTATAATTTGGGCTCAAAACAGCTCAAAGCCACAGCATGCTGAAATGCAAGACTTCAACTTGCAAGTATTGTGAACAGGATAGTGGGGACAATGATACACCTAAAGGAGTTATATGCAGGTAAATGGCCATGAAATTTAATCCAGATAAGTGTGAAGTGGTCAACTTTGGCATGAACACAAAGTAAGGGGTTATGTAACGCTGTGACACAGTGGTAGTGTAGTTTCCCCAGCTCCAGCCCAGAGGTTGAGGGATCAAGTCCAACCTGCACTGGAAATGTGTCACATCATGTTTGAATAGGTTTATATAAAAATACTTAAGGACTTGTGGCATAGTGATAGTGTTCCTAACTCTGAGCCAATGAAGCAAATGGGAGACTGGGTGTTATTAATAATAGTTTAGAGTATCAAAGTACAAAAGCAAGGATATAATAACAAAACTCTATAAAATGCTTGTTGAGAATATCATTATTTTTCTTTTACTTTTCTCATTTTTGGTTTGAAACTGAGTTGCAGTTGAGAACTGAACGTTGAACAACAACCTGTTTCAAAAAAAAAATGGAGAGAACAAAAAGATGTTTGCTCCAGGGGTCTGGAATGGAAAAATAAAGCAAGTTAATTACTGCTGTAAGAAGACAAATCAGCACAAAGATGTTGCTATGCTCAGGGTCTTGCAATTGGTTGCATGCGAATTGGTCCATCAAGGAAGGAGAAAGAGAAACCAAAAGGTCAACTGGTTTTGACTGGGTTTTTTGGGCAGGAGGCAGATTGCTGCTTTGGAAGCTGTAGCAACATGTTGCTTGGTTTTGCTCTCTCTAGTTATTCTCCAGTTGACTTGTTGAAAGTCCTAAGGAAAGAATCCCAGTCTTTAAGAAATAAGGAAAAATCTTCAAAGCTCTGCAGAGGCAGTTTTTACTGTCCATTGTCTTTGGAATTCAAACAAGGTACAATCCTACTCGCCTGTAATACGATCCATCGGCTTTTCATCACTGAAACAGTTAATGAACTGGCAATTTACAATTTTTCTTAATTTATTCCTTAACTCTGTTTGTCAATGTATGAGGGAGGTTGGTAATCAAAGAAAGATTGTAGATATTAATGAGACTACCTTGTAGTTTATTTGTGTTCTGCTAAAGTTACAAAATTAATAATACATTGTTAATTTTTTGTTAAAGTTATAACTTTGGGTGTCCAACGTCTGTCATTTGTAAAGTTTGGTTAGGAACAATTAAGCAATTTTGAGGGTCATCAAATGTTTTAATTTCACCATGTTGTGAATCTAGTGATAGCGAGTCCAATTCAGTCTAGCTGTGTTGGTGTCATTACACACTGGTTCAGGCTCAACCTTTTATTTATTCATGCACTGGATGTCAGCATCACTGACATTTATTGCCCAAGCCTAATTCCCTGAAGGCAGCGAAGAGGCAATCTCATTGCTGTAGGTCTGCATCACATGCAGGCCAGATCAGGTAATAAGTTTTCCCTCCCTAAAGTACATTCGTGAACTAGATGGATTTTTCCAAAAATTGACAACAGTCATCATTGGTCTCTTAATTCCAAAATTCTTATTGGATTCAAATTCCACTACCTGTATTCCCCAACATTAACTGGGTCTCTGAATTAACAGTCCAGTGATAATACCACTAGGTCATCTCTTCTCCCCCTGCCATCATTACATGCAGTGTTTGACAATGGAAGGGCTTCAGAAAGGATGGATGGATCCAGGGATTAGGAAATTTGGTTTTGTGGATAAATTGGAGAAGCTGTGCATGTTCTATTGGGAGAAGAGAAAATTGAGGATTTTAATAAAGTCCAAAAGCAAAGAGAAATAAACTGGTGAAAAGGTTAAGGCACAGAGGACAGTGACCATAAACAGAATCAATCTCGTGAACTTTGTCCAGTTTGCCTACAATTGCAGTATATTTTCCTTACTGAAGGGGGCCAAAACTACTCACAATATTCTAGATGTGGTCTAAGGCTTGGATAGTTTTAACAAAATTTTCTTACTTTTATACTTCATTCTCTTTGCCTTCCCTTTTACCTGCTGAGCTTATTTGCTAGCTTTCTATGACTCATACACAAGGATCCCAAATCCCAAAGCTGTAGCTTTTTGCAGTTTTTCTCTATTTAAATGCAACACCTTTAATTCTTCCCACCAAAATGCATAACTCCATTATGTTCCATCTTCCAAGTTTTTGCCCAATCGCTTAACATTTTTCTGTCATCTTCAACACCAAAATTTGTTCCCGAGTTAGAACTGATGATTTATTTCTTTCTTTGCTTTATGGGCGATAGTGCTATACACAAATGAAGCTGCCTCACTTCAGTGCTCACTGTCTAATAACTATAATGAAATCTAAGAAATGTATTGAATATTTTATAATACAGCTTTTTTATAATATTATAAAAGCTCTCTCCTCCATCTTAAACAGAATGCTTCTATAGCAGTTTACTGGCTGACAAACACAGGACAGCCTAGGAACAAAAACAGTAGTTGCTGGAAAAGCTCAGCAGGTCTGGCAGCATCTGTGAAGAAAAAATCAGAGTTAATGTTTTGGGTCCAGTGACCCTTCCTCAGAACTACCTCAGGGCAGCCTAAGCCTGTTATTTCTAGTACAGGCCCTAAAGTAATTCATTGCCAAACCTGATAAGATTTACGTGATCCATAAGTAAACAATTGTCTGTGTAAAATGTTTTAAAAAAGCTCGAGGAATAAAACCACATTGGAAAAAGCTTTCCAATATAAAACATTGAATGAGCTGGCTAGCTTGGAAATGATGGGCCAAATGGTCTCCTGCACTATAAACATCTGAGTCTATAGTTTCACCTATTGTCAACAATTTAGGCCAGCTCTGGACAACTAAGATCAAAAAAAACTGCAACCTGCAAGTATAGAGATGAGCTTCATCATTCAATTTTCCTGTTCTAGGACCAGTAATTTATTCACGGGAGACTGTCCCCGTCGGCCATAAATCCCCTGAACTGGGACAATAATTTAATACCTGAAGCTCAATGTTCATTAAGCCTCAGACTTACATTCATTCCTGGGGCACATTTCTGGTATTTGCCATCATTTTCTGATGCTAAACTCAATTCTGACACTCTATTCATAAGAAAAATGTCGACAACATTATTTGGTGTCTATAAAAAAGGGGAGGGGGATGATTTAGTTTTATTCATTGATGGGATGTGGGCATTGCAGGCAAGGTCAATATTCATTAATAGTTCATAGCCAACTTTACTGAATTCCAATTTCACCATCTGCCGAGGTGGGATTTGCACCCATATCTGCAGAACAGCAGCCTCGGCTCTAGGTTACTAGTCCAGTGACAGTGTCACTTCAAAGAAGGGCCAGCAAACTTGAAACATTGATTCTGCTTTCGGTCCACAGATGCTGCTAGACCAGAGTGTCTTTAGCAATTTCTGTTTTTGCTTCAGATTTCCAGCATTCACAGTTCTTTGTTTTATTCTGTAAGTCTAAACAGTTTCATTCCCTTGTCTTTCCCCATAACCCAGCAAATGTTTCTTTCCTCAGTATATAACCAGATTTTGATGCAGAATCATAGAATTCGCTTAATGCATTCTTTTCATGCTAATTCTCCTGACAATTTTTAAGAGAAAGAGACCATACTGATTATCACATCTTAATGATGAATACCTGATGGCTTCCAATGTGACCTTTGTCCCAGCCAGGTTTAAGGATCGCAGAAGATGGTTTCCCTCAGTCCCTGCTAGGATTTCCATGGCCAGCTCAAGGTCTTTCTCACTGTAGCACTGCCCAGTGAGATCGAGTTCTTGTAAAGAATGCCTCCACTTCAATGCCATCTGCTCAGAGCCCTGTTTAGCCAACAGCAGGGTGGTGGTGCTACAGTAAAGTCCCAGGAAAAGCCGTGCCAGGTCTAGAGTTGGAACAAGTAGAGAGTTTCATAAGAAAACAATGTAGTCCTTTAACCTGTACAGATGGGTAGAAGGCAGGGGTTGCAAGCTCAGTGAGGAACTAGCTTAAAGTTGATTGTCGTCAGGAACAGTCTGAAGTAATGCAGCCGTCACTCCTGTGCTTGCTGACCTACATCTGCTCCCAATCTGGCAACTCAATTTTAAAATTTTCATCTTAAAACCCGATGGCCTCCACCTTCCCTATGTCAGTAATCACCTCCAGCCTTACAATCATCAGATATCTCTGCAATCCTCGCATATGGCCTCTTGCAATTCACAATTTTTATATTCTATACTGTTGTATAATGGCCATGCTGTAAAACTTGTGAATTCTTCCCTCATATTTCTCTATCTTTCTGTATTCTTTTTAACTAACTATCTTAACAACTCCTTCTGTGAGTTGGTGTCAAATTCTGTTTCTCAAGTTATGAGGAGCTACGTAAATGCAGATTTTTGTATAGGCAGCATACAAATGTATACACAATTCCTCCAGGGTAAGATCTTGACAACTGTGCAGCCACAGACCAAGAAGCAGGCTGGCAGGAGGGAAGGAGGAATACAGTTTAGGAGCTGCAGTTTACCTCTCTGCTCAATTCCTCTGTTTAGAACCACGAGAACACAACCATAACAGCCTAATATCTCCAGTCAATAATCTACAAACAACTTGAATGGAGACCCAGAAATGATGGACAGCAACTCTCCCACAGTCAAATGAGAGCACAGGAGGGATGTGATTGACTGCCATTGGTACAGACATTGAGGTGCGGTGAAACCCTATCTCTGAAGCCTCAAAAGACTATCATGAGTGTTAAGTTTTATATTTCATTCAAATTATCTTTTAGGCCAAGGAGAAATTTTGGAGGTCTGCCTTCTGGGAGAGTTTTATCTGTGGTTACAATGAAATTAAACTAAATAGGATAGGTCTGGTAAATATAAATTGCACAGAGCTGATTAAAAACAAAGTACATGGACTCCACCGTCCTCCATATTGGAAATCAAGACTAGACACTAAAAACGGTGCAACTGCACAATGGTTTAGGCAAGGGCCTTGTGCCTTGCAGCATGCAGAATTGGGCCCAGATTGTCTCAGATTTTTCAGTTCCTTAAGAATTTAATAGTAGCAGATCGCATGGTTCAAACAGCCCACTTCCACATTCAATACAATCAGGGCTGACCTTTGACCTCAAATCTATTTTCCTGCCCATATCTAAGATTCCACGATACACTGAGACATCAAAAATCTCTCCATCCCAGCCATGAATACACTCAATGAACATTCGTGAACTAACAAACCCACTGAGCCTGCTCCTGAATATAGAGAAACTTAGAAACATTTCATTACCATCCCTACAACTGTTTTGATAACGTTAGGACACAGACAATCAGAGTCCCAGAGATTTGTCAGCTTTAAGTCTCTTAAGTTTCTTTAACACGTTATGTGAAGTTCCTCATTCTTATTAGTCTCTCAATTATTCTCTATTTCTTTGCTTTCAGGTGGATGCAGACTATTTGCCATTCAGCCTATGATAAGTCCATTTTTTGTGGAAGATGAATTGGAGGAGTTGCGCTTGGATCTTATTGCAGGCTCCAGACAGCCATCAAGGTGCTTAAGGACTTTTTTTGTCATGAGATACTGAGACAGCTGATTCTTTCAGGTCTAAGTACAAGGATGCAGTCACTGTGGTAAGAAGAATGCATTTTTTGCTGCAGATCCTCCAAAATTTGTCTGCAGGATAACTCACCTGAAATCAAATAAAGAAAGCAAACTCCTACCAAAATTGCACAACCCATACACATGGGTTGGACTGCAGTAGTTCAAGGCAAAAGCCCATCACCATATTGTCAGGGCAACAAGCGATGGTCAATAAGTGCCATCTGCACCTGATGTACGTTCAATCTCCCGAATTGTTTGAAGGGTCTGCGTAGAGATAGTTTTACTCAGTATCACACCTGTGCTGTACTTGTCCCGGGGGTGCTTGATGCAAAAACGTTACCAAAGCTTTACCTTGTGTGGAATGGCTGTACTTGCTCTTAGGACTGAACATTGGAAGCTTGACTTCATATCTAACCTATACTATACTTGACTGGGAGAACACAATAGGGCATAACAATGACTTATTCTGCATATAAAACATTTTGTACTGGACCTGGGAGTGCCTGAGGATATCAACAACCTAGAAAATTGATCTCTTTGTAGCAATACAGCTTAAATGTTAAATAAGCATAAAACAAACTACCCTAATGATAACGAAGGTAAAGGGATCATAAAGAGTGACTTGAGAGAAACATGTCCTTACCTTGACAGGGTAAAAGTTGTAACCCTGCTGATGTGATCCGATAGCAGCCTCTCAGGTCTAATGTCCGTAGCCTAGATGACAAGTGCAGTAGCTTTACCAGAACTTCATCAGTAACCAATGAAAATGACGATGTGGCCAAGCACAACTCTTCCAACTCTGAGAAACCAACTTCTGGTGAAACGATCATAGTGCAAGCTTTCGGGAACCAGGTTAAGTTCAGGAGCCTCAGCACCTGCACAAGAATTTGTTAGATTAGGTTCTGAAAGCCTAGGATTAGAAGGGACGAGGTCTAAACTATGAGTGAGTGCTGCTGTACATACAGGAAAAGAATAAGAGATCACAGTGCAAAACTAGGCCAGTAATTGCAAGGCCATTGCTAACAATGATGATCTGAGATGTATGATAATTTGTTTTTTTGAATTTTAATGTGTTAAAATATTGTCTTGCATGCTGTACAGACTGATCTTACCCACACAAAGCGCATCAGGTAGCAGAACAGAGTGCAGAATACACTGTTACGCTGTACACTGGGTGGCACGGAGGCCCAGTGGTTAGCACTGCTACCTCACAGCGCCAGGGGACCGGGTTTGATTCCAGCTTCGGGCAACTGTGCAAACTCCAAACAAACATACTCCCTGTATCTGCATGGGTTTCCTCTAGGTGCTCCGGTTTCCTCCCACAGTCCTAAGTTGTGCAGGATAGGTGGACTGGCCATGCTAAATTGCCCATAATGTCCAGGGATGTGCAGGCTAGCCATTGTAAATGCAGGGTTACAGGGATTAGTTGGTGCATCTGCTCTTCGAAGGGTTGGTGTGGACTTGATGGGCTGAATGGCCTGCTTCCACATAATAGGGATTCTATGATTCTATAATACGCTGTTACAGCCTCAGAGAAGGTGCAGAAAGAGATCAATATTAACATTTAAGAGGTCCGTTCAAGTCTGATAACAGCAGGGAAGAAGCTGTCCTTGAATCTGTTGTCCCATTATCTGCTGCTTTGCTTTAACATTGGCTGGTTAATTCCCTGTCACTGACCCTCCCACTCCTCAACTCTTCCACCCCAACGCCTTCTCCTGAACCTTCCCTGTGAGCAGTGACAGTATAGAGATGCACCACAGCAATTCGTCAAGTTTCATTTAACTGCGACTTGGACAATGGCATAGAAAGTCATATATTTGCCGATGACACAAAGTTAGGGAGCATTGTACGTTGTGTGTAAGTGCTGTACTTGCATTGTAGACAGTGTGAATGGTAGCGTAAAATTACAAAGGAATATTGATAGACTAGGTGAATGGGTGAAACTGTGACAGATGATGTTCAATGCAAGCAAGTGTAAGGTTATCCATTTTCGACCAAGAAGGGATAGATCAGGGTACTTTCTGAATGGTATGAACTTAAATACGGTGGATGCCTAAAGAGACTTGGGAGTTTATGTGCACAGTTCTTTAAATGCTATGAACCGATGCAGAAAATAATTAAGAAAGCTAATGGATTGCTGGCCTTTATATTTAGAGGACTGGAGCAAGGATGTAGTTATAGAAGGAAAGAATATAGGAAGGATGTATTGGTCTTGGAGGGAGAACAACACAGATTTACAATAATGGTATCTAGACTTCAGAGGTTATATTATGAGGAGAGATTACACAAAGTAGGAATTTCGAAGATTATGGGTGATCTGATCAAAGTCTTTGAGATATTAACAGGAAAATACAAGGTAGATAAATTATTTTCACTGGTTGAGGCTAGTCTGAGAATTAGGGCCGGACTATTCAATAGAGATGTTGGGAGGCACTTCTACACACAAAGCATGGTAGATGTTTGGAACTCTTCTCCACAAAAGCTGATTCTGGATCAATTGTTAATTTTAAATCTGAGATAGATAAATGTTTGATAAGTAAAAGTGCTAAGGGATATGTGCCAAAGGAAGGTATATGGAGTTAGGCCACAGGTTAGCCATGATCTCACGGAATGGCGGAACAGACTGGCCCTTTATCACCTTCCAGGCTTGCTAGGTTTGCCAGCGATACCCATGTAGAAATATGGAAATGCAGAAAATAGGAGAGGTAGGCCATTCAACCCTTCAAGCCTTGTTCCACCATCATATCATCATGGCTGATCATCCAACTCAGTACCTTGTTCCCACTTTCTCCCATACTTTTGATTCCGTTAGCCCTGAGAACTATGTCCAACTCCTTCCTGAAAGCATTCAATATTTGGCCTCAGTTGCTTTCTGTGGCAGAGAATTCCACAGGTTCACCATTCTCTGGATGAAGAAATTTCTCCTCATCTCAGTCTTAGGAGGCCTACCTCATTTCCTTCTGTGACCTTTGTCCCCATGGCAGAAGAAAACAAAATGGACCAAGTTAACAATTTAGGTACTGTGAGGTTCAGTAGCTAACAACTGTATACCAATTATGTTGAATTGTACGAAGGTTGTAGACTTAGCTTAGGAATTAATTTTTGCCCTCTAAGTAGTTCTGAAGTTCCCACCTGCTTCAAGACCACCACCATCATCTCAAAACCAACGAAAACCTCATGCAGCATGCCTCAATGACTACCACCTGGTGGTTCTGACCCAATAATTATGAAGTGCTTTGAGAGGTTAATCATGACTCATTTCAACTCTAGCCTCCCAGCCTGCCTTGTTCCCCTGCAATTTGCCTACTGTCATAACAGGTCCAGGGCAGACACCACCTCCCTGTCCCTACACTCATCCTCCGAACATCTGGATAGCAAGCTTGCCTATGCCAGGCTCCTAATCATTGAGAACAGCTCCACCTTCAACACCATAATTCTGACCAAACTAGCCTCCAAACTCCAAGACCTAGGTCTCTCCTCCGCCCTCTGCAACTGGATCCTTGACTTCCTGATCCACAGACCGCAATCAGTGAGAAGAGGCAACAGCACCTCCTCCACGACAATCCTCAACACCAGTGCCCCGCGAGTCTGCGAACTCAGCCCCTTATTGCATTCCCTATATAGCCAAATTTCGTCCTAACTCTATCTACAAGTTCACTGACAACAACACCATTATAGACCAGATCTCAAACAATGACGAGACAGAATACAGGAAGGAGATAGAAGCTAGGATGGTTTTGCAAAGAAAACAATCTCTCCCTCAATGTCAGCAAAACAAACGAGCTGGTCATTGACTTCAGGAACAACACAGTGTGGAGCTGAAGGAACACAGCAGGCCAGGCAGCGTCAGAGGAGCAGGAAAGTTGACGTTTCAGGTCAGGACCTTCTTCAGAAAATCCAAAACGTCAACTTTCCTGTTCCTCTGATGCTGCCAGGCCTGCTGTTTCCTCCAGCTCCATACTGTGTTGTCTCTGACTCCAACATCTGCAGTTCTTGCTATCTCTGATTGACTTCAAGAAGCAAGTGGACAGCATGACACTATCTACATCAATGGTGCTGAGGTGGAGATGGTCAAGAGTCAAGTTCCTAGGAGTGGTGATCACCAACAATCTGGCCTGGTCCACCCATGTTGATGTAACGGTCAAAAAAGCACAACAATGCTTCTTCTTCCTCAGGAGGCTAAGGAAATTTCACATGTCCAAAAGACGCTTACCAATTTTTACAGATGCAGCCTGTGGAATTCATTACTGCAGGAAGTAATTGATGCCAAAACATTTAGTGTATTCAAGAGTTGACTAGATGTAGCACTTGGGGCAAATGGAATCAAAAGTTATGGAGAGAAAGCAAGATTAGGCTATTGAGTTGGACGATCAGCCATGATCGTGAAGAATGGCAGAGCAGGCTTGAAGGGCCAAATGGCCTCCTCCTGCTCCTATCTTCTATGCTTCTACGTTTCTATGAAAGCATTCTATCTGGATGCATCACAGCTTGGTATAACAACTGCTCTTCCCAGGACCGTAAGCAACTGCAGAGAATTGTGAACACAGCCCAATTCATCACACAAACCAACCTTCCATCCATTGAATTCATCTACACTTCTCGTTGCCTCGGAATGGCGGCCAACATAATCAAAGATCCTGCCCACTGCGGTTATAATCTCTTCCAAAATTTTCGTCAGGCAGAAGATAGAAAAGCTTAAACACACTGAACAACAGATTTAAGAACAGTTTCTTCCCTGCTGTTATTAGACTTTGAATGGACCTGTCAAATTTTAAATTTAATGCCAACCTCGCTCTTTGTGCGCCTTCTCTGCAGCCATAACACTGTATTCCTCGCTCTGTTCTATTACACTTACGCACTTTCCATAGTATGATCTGCCGGTACTACACGCAAAACAAAACTTTTCACTGTACCTCGGTACATGTGACAATAATAAATCAAATTAAGTAGACAGACTAAAATTATGGTTGGTGGGTTAGGAGGGGTTTGCCTGTAACGTGCAACTCTGAAAATAAACATAGCAATCTATAAAGATCAGCTTTAATTCTATTCTTCAAATTAATTTCAGGTACACAGTAATAGCCTGATAGGTGGGATTGAAACTGTGAGTTGTGAGGAATCAACGTAAAAACATCCTGGAGGGATTTGAAGATGAAGGGAAGTTGCAGATAGGCCATTAGATTGCTAAAATGGATGCTGTATTTCTAAGGAAGGGGCACTGAAAGGGGTGATGGACCTCTCTAAAGGACAAGGTAGGAAGCAATTTCTCCTGAAATACCTGCAGCTTAGGACAGCCTGCCTGCAACATCTCAATGCAGAACTGGAAGTAGGGGTTGGTCTGCTTGATTTCAGTGTTCACCTCCAGCAGTCGAAGTTCAGTACAGCAGCCTGCCTACAGGGCAGAATCATAAGAGAAAACCAGTGAGTAAAGCAGGCAGTCAATTGGAAAATGATTCATTGTAACTGTTAATGTCCTGCCAGCTCGTTCCTCTGAACAAACTGGAACCAAATATCACCTTCTCATAGAATGGTAACAGCACAGAAGCAGTCCTTTAAAAAACCCATCTAGTCTGTGCAGGACATTTGATGGAGCACTTCACAAACTGCCACTCTCACACCTTTTACCTCACATGCTGAAAATGTTTCCTTTCCAGATAGTGATCCAATTCTCTTTTGAAAGGCTCAAATGTACCTTCCCTCAGCACAGTCTCAGGCAGTGCATTCCAGATCATAACCTCCTGCCACCTGAAAATGTTTCTCTTCATGCCATCATTGCTTCTTTTGGCAATTATTTTCAAACTGTGCCCTTCAGTCCTCAATCCTTCTACTAAAGGAAACAGTTTCTCCCTATCCTACCCAGTACCCTCACAATTTTGAACACTGCCCTCAAATCTCCTTTCAGCATTCTCTTCTCCACAGAGAACAGTCCCAACTTCTCCAATCTATGCTAATGGTTCCAAGGATGAGGAACGTCATTCTCATGAATCTTTTCTCTACCCTATCTGTAATGTCTTTGCATGTTTCCTAAAATCTGGTGTCTAGAACAGGATACAATACTCCACTTGAGGATGAATTAGTGTTTAAATAAGTTGAACAAAACTTCCTTGTTGTGCTCTATGTCTTTATTGGTACAGCCAAGGGCACTATGTAAGCTCTCCTGTCACCTTCAGTGATTTATGCAAATATACACCCAAGTCTCTCTGCCCCTGTAATCTTGTATTTTGTCTCCCAGCACTCTTTCTAGCAAAATGAATCACTTCACATTTCCCCGCGTTAAATCTCATTTGCCAGTGTCAGCCCATTCCCCCGCAACCTCTCCAAACCCTTTCAAAGTCTCATACTATCATAAGACCATAGGATATAGGAACACAATTAGGCCATTTGGCCCATCAAGTCATATCATGCATATGTTTCTTAACCCCATTCTTGTGCCTTTTCCCTGAAACCTTTGATCCCCTTCTTAATCAAGAACCTATCTCTATCTTAAATACATTCAACGACTCCACAACCCTCTGCAGTAATGAGTTCCACAGATTCACCATCCTCTGGCTGAAGAAATTCCTCCTCGTCTCAGTTCTGAAGAGTAGCTCCTTCATTCTGACACTCTGCCCTCAGATCCTAGTCTCTCCTACTTTTGGAGCCATCTTTCCATATCCATGCTAACCAGGCCTCTCAGTTTTCTGCAAGTTTCAATCAGATCCCCCTCATCCTTCTAACCTCCATCGAGTACAGACCCAGAGTCCTCAACCACTCCTCATATAAAAAGCCCTTCATCCCAGGTATCATTATTGTAACCCTCCTCTGGACTCTCTCCAAATCCACCTTAGATACGGGGCCCAAACCTGCTCACAATATTCCAAATGCTTGGTAGAGTTCTCCTTGGTCACTACTTATTGCTTTAATGACTAATGAAATAAGATTAAATGGTCATTGGCTGTGTCTGCTAGTACCGTGAACAAATCCCACTCCAGGAATTCACAATAAAAACTAAAAGTGGCATCCCAGTGCCGTACTGAAGGAGTGCTGCATTGTTAGAGGCGCTCTCTTCTGTATGAGAATATAAATTAAAAGCCTCACTGCTCTTTCAAGTGGAAAGGTCCCACAGTACTATTTCAGCTCAGGGAATTAATTTGTATCTCGCCCAACAAATACCTGCCAATCAACACTACTGGTACTGATCTGATCATTTTTTCCAGGAGGCTACAGAACATAACTGGCTGCTACTTTTGCTACACTATACCAGTGGCTATATTTATAATTACATCAATAGCTGTGAAACGTTTAAAATCTATTAAAACCCAGATTTTTAGGGTATCCAATGTTTCCTGAGGTCCCTCATTTTCTATCCTGTTGCCATGCCAACTGTGACAGTTTAGGAGCTCAAACAAGCCAACAGATTTTTTTCCTTTACTCATTCATGGGAATGAGGGTGTCACTGGCTAGGCCAGGATTTATTTCCCATCCCCAATTGCCCAGAGGGCAGTTCAGAGTCAACCACGTTGCTGTAGGTCTGAAGTCACATGTTGGCCAGACCAGGTAAGGATAGCAGTTTCCTTCCCTAAAGGACATTAGTGAACCAGATGGGTTTTTCCAACAATCGACATTGGATTCATGGTCATCATCAGACTGTTAATTCCAAGTATTTACAGAGTTCAAATTTCACCATGTGCCATGATGGCATTTGATTCCAGGTCCCACAACATTACCTGGGTCTCTGGATTAACAGTCTAGCGATAATACCACGAGGCCATTGCCTCCCCTGTAATGGATGGGTTTGGGTCAGAAGCGGTGGGAACTGGACGCAAGAGGTCAATCAATCGGCAAACCACACATTCTGTTGCAGGGACATATAAATGGAAGGTCATGCTGGGAATGGAAAAGTTCAGAAATAAAGAAAAATGTGCATTTAATTAATATTTTTCAAAACATCAGAACTCCAAAGCTCTTTACAGCTACTTCAAATAATTTTACAAAGTAATCATCATTGGAACATATAAAAGTCAGCAGACAATTTGCATATAGCAAGGTCTCGCAAACAGAAATGTGATTTATTTTCTAAGTGAAGTTGGTTGAAGGATAAATATTGGCCAGTAACAACAAAAATTCCTCTATTCTTCAAGGAATCCTTGATGTTCACTTGAAAGAGGAGTCAAGGCTTCATGTTTAACTTCTCATCCAAAAGACAACACCTCCGCAATCTAATACACTCTCAATACTGAACCCATATCCTTCTGATCCAGAGATTGCCTCGGTAAAGCACAAGAAAAATGAATGGCAACCTGACAGCAATAAAAAAAGTAAAATAATAAGAAAAAAACAAAATAACAAAGTATTAACAAAGTAATCTTTAACTTAAAATATTAATTTATTACAATAACATGTTGAACAAACGAAGACCAAGTACAACCAGCAAGACGTGGCCAGTCTTTCAGTCTATCCAGCCTTCTAAATATTACTGTACCTTTTCTTGTACTTTGGTGGTGGAATACAAGCACAATATGTAGAATGTACTTTACATACAACAGAAGTTTTTCTCTCCCATTCAAACATAATGGGTTCCTGAGGAAAATAATGTTCAAGGATACACGGAAAACGTGAGACAGTGGGAATAGATGAGTCGCTCTTGACACAATAGGCCAAATGGCTTCCTACTGGTTAAACATTCTATGATTTTAGATTGATTCGACAACATGCCTTACCACAATGGCATTGAAGATGTTGTGCAGGCGACTGTTGTATGTCACACAAAGCTGTCTGAGATTTGAACCTGCTGCTTCCAGAAAATTAACAACAGCAGCAGTGTCAATCTGCAAAGAAGAGCAAACAATACGGCAGTCAAAACTAAAGGAGACACCCCCTCCTCCTGGACACCACCCCAAGGCCTCCGACCCTCCCTCGACCTCTTCATCTCCAACTGCCGTCGAGACATCAATCGCCTCAACCTCTCCACCCCTCTCACCCACTCCAACCTCTCCTCCGCAGAACGTGCAGCCCTCCGCTCCCTCCGCTCCAATCCCAACCTCACCATAAAACCCGCGGACAAGGGAGGCGCAGTTGTAGTATGGCGCACTGACCTCTACATCGCCGAGGCCAGGCGCCAACTCTCCGACACCTCCTCCTACCGCCCCCTTGATCATGACCCCACCCCTGAGCACCAAACCATCCACAACCTCATCACCTCAGGTGACCTCCCAACCACGGCCTCCAACCTCATCGTTCCCCAACCTCGCACCGCCCGCTTCTATCTCCTTCCCAAAATCCACAAACCTGAATGCCCTGGTCGACCCATTGTCTCCGCCTGCTCCTGCCCCACCGAACTGATCTCCAACTATCTGGACTCCATTTTCTCCCCCTTGGTCCAGGAACTCCCTACCTATGTCCATGACACCACCCACGCCCTCCACCTCCTCCAGAACTTCCAATTCCCTGGTCCCCAACACTTCATCTTTACCATGGATGTCCAGTCCCTCTACACCTGCATTCCCCATGCAGATGGCCTTAAGGCCCTCCGCTTCTTCCTGTCCCGCAGGCCCGACCAGTCCCCCTCCACTGACACCCTCATCCGCTTAGCCGAACTCGTCCTCACCCTCAACAACTTCTCTTTCAATTCCTCCCACTTCCTACAGACAAAGGGGGTAGCCATAGGTACCCGCATGGGCCCAAGCTACACCTGCCTCTTTGTAGGTTACGTGGAACAATCCCTCTTCCGTACCTACACCGGCCCCAAACCCCACCTCTTCCTCTGTTACATTGATGACTGTATCGGCGCCGCCTCGTGCTCCCACGAGGAGCTCGAACAGTTCATCCACTTCACTAACACCTTCCACCCCAACCTTAAGTTTACCTGGACCATCTCTAACACCTCTCTCCCCTTCCTGGACCTCTCTGTCTCCATATCGGGCAACCACCTAGAAACCGATATTCATTTCAAGCCCATTGACTCCCACAGCTACCTAGAATACTGCTCCTCCCACCCACCTTCCTGCAAAAATGCTATCCCCTATTCCCAATTCCTTCGCCTCCGCCGCATCTGCTCCTAGGATGAGGCATTCCACTCCCGTACATCTCAGTTGTCCTCGTTTTTCAAGGACCATAACTTCCCCCCCTCAGTGGTCGAGAACGCCCTCAACCGTGTCTCCCACATCTCCCGCAACTCATCCCTCACACCCCGTCCACGCAATAAGAACCAAAAAAGAATCCCCCTTGTCCTCACGTACCACCCCACCAACCTCCGGATCCAACACATCATCCTCCGACACTTCCATCTGCAATCCGACCCCACCACCAAAGACATCTTTCCCTCCCCACTCCTATCTGCTTTCCGGAGGGACAACTCTCTCCGTGACTCCCTTGTCCGCTCCACACTCCCCTCCAGCTCCACCACACCCGGCACTTTTCCCTGCAACCGCAGGAAGTGCTACACCTGCCCCCATACCTCCTCCCTCACCCCCATCCCAGGCCCCAAGAAGACTTTCCACATCAAGCAGATGTTCACCTGCACATCTGCCAATGTGGTATACTGCATCCGCTGTACCCGGTATGGCTTCCTCTACATCGGGGAAACCAAGCGGAGGCTCGGGGACCGCTTTGCAGAACACCTACGCTCGGTTCGCAATAAACAACTGCACCTCCCAGTCGCGAACCATTTCAACTCCCCCTCCCATTCCTCAGACGACATGTCCATCCTGGTCCTCCTGCAGTGCCACAACGATGCCACCCGAAGGTTGCAGGAACAGCAACTCATATTCCGCTTGGGAACCCTGCAGCCCAATGGTATCAATGTGGATTTCACAAGTTTCAAAATCTCCCCTCCCCCTACCGCATCCCAAAACCAGTCCAGCTCGTCCCTGCCTCCCTAACCTGTTCTTCCTCCCACCTATCCCCTCCTCCCACCTCAAGTCGCACCTCCATCTCCTACCGACTAACCTCATCCCGCCCCCTTGACCTGTCCGTCCTCCCTGGACTGACCTATCCCCTCCCTAACTCCCCACCTACACTCACCTTTACTGGCCCCATCCCCGCCTCTTCGACCTGTTTGTTTCCTCTCCACCTATCCATCTTCTATCCGCCTCCCACTCTCTCCCTATTTATTTCAGAACCCCCTGCCCCTCCCTCTTTTCTGATGAAGGGTCTAGGCCCGAAACGTCAGCCTCTCTGCTCCTATGATACTGCTTGACCTGCTGTGTTCATCCAGCCCTGCACCTTGTTGTAAAGGAGACAGCTTCCTGGTTTTCAGAAATCATAGTTCTGAAAGCTTTCCCTAACCAAACCTCAGCAGCTTTTTGAAGGGCTTTGTGAGTTTTGTGAGGCAAGGATAGCAAGCCAAACAAAATCAGCCTCTTTATCATTGGATTCTCAACACAGTGAAATTAAAATAGTCAATGACCCTCCAAATTGCTCAATTGTTCCAAACCAGACCATACGAATAAAGATGTTGTAACATCAAGTTTATGATTTAAAAGAAAACAATTTTTTTTTATTAATGTAACTTTATCTGATCACAGATAAACAAGGTAATCTAATTAATATCTACAATCTAATCATCTTTGATCATAACTCTCACTCTCAATCAGACAGACAGACATACACACACAGAGTTAAGAGATAAATTAAAAAGAAAATAAAAGAATTTGAATTTGCCAGTTCAATAAACAGTTTCAAATGATGGATACCAGGCCTTCCTGAAATCCTTGGGCAATGGGTTGTTCATAGCCAAGTAGAACCGTATATCTTGCTTCAATTCCGAAGTCACCGGTTAATGCAGACAGTTTCAGCAGACTTCTACAATTATTTACTTATTTCTTATAGACTTGGATTCTTTTCTCAGAGCAATCAACAATTCAATAACAGGAGAGAAACTAGAGAGACAGCAAAATAAAACAGACAGTGTCCAGAAACTTCCAACATCACACTGTCTCCTACCAAACCCCATCACGGAACCGTTTTCATTTTCTCTTTTCAATCTACTTTGTTTGTGAGTGGTTGATTAGCAATCGTCCTCTCTTGACTGAACAATTAAACATCCAAACCAGCTGCCAGCTTGAGCATAGCAACCACTCGGTGTCGAGTCATCTACAGTGTCCTCAGATCAGTAATCAAGTTGCATTACCTTCCTGGCCAGTTTGCAACAGTAAACATCTGTCTTTATTCTTTTCTTAAACAAGCTGCTGCTCAAAGTTCAAGTCTTAATTTCAATACTCAGTTCCAAATCAAAACAATGAGAATAATCGAAGAAAAAGAGTGATGGTCTCAACACGCGGATCAAGCAAGATATAGCAACAGGACTAGAGAGAGTAAGGATAGTTTTTTGAGGATTGTGAGAACTGTGATTTTGCTGTCATGATGCAAAAAGAACAATCATGATGGCTGGATGGCCTGTATCTGAATGGGCAAGAAACCAGCGAAGCAATGCAATAGACAAGGTACATACATAGCAACATCAATTACGAGTAGGAATAGGCCATTTGGCTCCTCAAGCCTGCTCTGCATATGATAAGATTATGGCTGATCTCATTATGGCCTCAACTCTACTTCCTTATCTACCCCCCCACCCCCCAATGCCCTTTGATTCCCTTGTCAATCAAAAAACTATCTCACTATCTTAAATAACATCAATTAACCCACCCACTTGTCTCTCGGGAAATTAATTCCAGACTCATGATCCTTGGAGGAACAGAAAAAAATCTTCCCTCCTTTCCATCCTAAATAGGAGACATCTTTTCTTTTTAAATTTTATTCCCTAGATCTGATCTCAATCACAAAGGGAGATACCCCATCAACAACCCCTCAGTCAAGCCAGGTGTTTCCGCTAGCAGGTGAAACTAGGACTAGAGGGTATTGCCTCAAAATAAAGGGAAGCAGATGTAGGACTGAGGTCAGGAGGAACTTCTTCACCCAAAGGGTTGTGAATCTGTGGAATTCCCTGCCCAGTGAAGCGGTTGAAGCTACCTCGCTGAATGTTTTTAAGGCAAGGCTAGATAAATTTTTGAACAGTAAAGGAATTAAGGGTTATGGTGA